CAGCGACACACTTCTTCCAACAAGGTCACACCTACTCCAACAAGGCCACATCTCCTAACCTTTCTCAAGTAGTGCCACTCCCCAATTTCAAATATATGAGCCTAACATGGGCACTCTTATTCACCACAGCTTGTTTTCCTTTTGAGACAGAGTCTCACTGTGTAGCCCTGGTTAGCTTGGAACTCTATTAGATCCAGCTGGCCTTGGACTCACAGATCCACTTTCCTCTGTCTCCCAAGCACTGAGATTAAAGGCATGTGCCACCACACCTGTTGAATGTATTTTTCAAAATTACGTCTTATTATTTAGTGTGTGTGTGTGTGTGTGTGTGTGTGTGTGTGTGTGTGTGTGTTTTGCATGTGCCCAGGTGGAGGTTAAAAGAAAACTTTCAGGATCCAGTTTTCTCCTTCTGCCATGCAGGTCCTGGCGATCAAGGTGGTCAGGCTGCAGCAGGTACCTTTGCCTACTGAACTACGGAGGTTTTGCCCCACAAGAAAGTAAAAAACAAACAAAAATATCACAAGTTGGGGGCTATTGTCCATAGCCCTAGCACATGAACATTTTCATTTTTTGAACCAAACTTTATTCATATTATCAGGATTATGAGAATCCCCTACATACTTCCTTAATGTCAACTATCCAGTCAGCATCTCTGAGTTATCAAATCATTTTAATAGTCCCACATTGAATTTGACTAATGGAGTCTCATCATCCCCCCTCCCCCTTTTGGCTGTCTTTTACTTTGCCGAGGAGTATGGGTTGTGTGGAGGTTGGCCTATCGCCTTCTGTCTTAGAGTCACTATTGCTGTGACTTTGGGGAAGAAAGGGTTTATTTGGCTTGAACTTCCACAGCACAGTTCATCACTGAAAGAAGTCAGGACAGGAACTTAAACAGAGCAGGATCCTGAAGGCAGGAGCTGATGCAGAGGCCATGGAGGGTGCTGCTTACTGGCTTGCTCATCATGGCTTGCTCAGCCTGCTTTCTTATAGAACCCAGAACCACCAGCCCAGAGATGGCACCACCCACAATGGGCTGGGCCCTCCGCCATTGATCATTAATTGAGAAAATGCCTAGCAGTCTGATCTTACGGACACATTTCCTCAACTGAGGCTCCCTCCTTTCAGGTTTGTATCAAGTTGACACAAAACTAGCCAGCACACCCTCTCCTTGGTTGGGCTTCTGTTTCTGCATTTTCTAGCATTATGTCTAGTGGCTTGAGCAGATTCAAGATTGATTTTTATTTTATGGTTCATAATACATGACAGATTTGACATATTTGACCTGAGTGAGGTCTTCCTTCCTTTTCCTTTAAAAATTAAAGTCGGCCATGAATGAGAACCCCGCTGTAGGAAAAGCCACGGATGGCAGCTGTTACACCATCCCAGTTGGATGGGATTCAGGGGATGTCTCTTCGTTTCTCCCACCACAGGACTTTTTGCTTACCTTGTTTCATATACACTTCCTACTTCCTCTTGGGAGGAGGCCCCATTAAGCCTATTGGACAGACCTGGAAACCAAACCCAGAGGAATAATCTGCCAGAGTGTTGTTGGGTGTGAACTATATGTCTGTGACCTTCTGAGGTCAGCCCAGGAAGCAGAAAGAGGTTTTGACAGAAGAAAACCTTTAGCATTCCTGTGGGATCATCTGTCTTTTTGTTGTTTTTGCTGAAGATTGAATTGACTTAGTCGGGTGTTGGTGGCACATGCCTTTAATTCCAGCACTTGGGAGGCAGAGGCAGGTGGATCTCTGTGAGTTCGAGGCCAGCCTGGTCTACAAGAGCTAGTTCCAGGACAGGCTCCAAAAGCTTCAGAAAAACCCTATCTTGAACCCCTCCTCCCCAAAAGATGGAATTGGTTTGTATTCTTGATAAAGAATTTATGATGAATAAATTCAATGGATATTTAAGTTCTACTCTCAACATGGAATATTTTTTCCTCTACAGGGACCCAGTATAGTGCATACTCCCAGGGAGATGATGGCATCCACTGGTACCCAGTATGTTTGCACTCCCAGGGAGATGATGGCTCCCGGGAGTAGGAAAAAGAATTCCCCAGCTGCTATTCAGGGTCAAAGTGCCCTTTTCTGACTCATAGGTACTTCTATGTTACTAATATTTGGGTTTTGATTTTATTTAATGCCACCCATCCTAAAGAAAATGTGAGCATACATGTCAGCTTTGCAGAAAGACAGCTAGCTAGGCTGCGAAGGGAGACTGGGCTGCTGGAATGCCGGGCTAGAGAGAGGCTGCAATCTGAATCCAGCATCTGCAGACTCCCGAGGATGGCTCACTCTGTCTTCCAAGCTCCTGGGCACTGCCAAGGGTCTGACTTTTCTGGGTACATGGCTGTGTCACTCGGTTCTCTGCTGACGTCATCACAAGCCTTCTCCCTGTGTATCAGTGTCCAGTTTTCCCTCTTACAGTAAGGACATCAGTCCTATTGGATTAGTGCCAACCTAATGACATCATCTTAACTTGATACCTCCACAAAGACCCAGTTTCTAAATCAGGTCAGCGTTGCCAGGTAAGTCAGGCACAAGGATATCAGAGAGTCCCTCTGGGGAGGCAGTTCAACCCTCTACAGCCATGTAGGACAGGATGCTGTGGACTCGACCAAATCATTAACATGCTGTGCAAGAAAGATGTCATGCGAGGGCAGACTTCATACAGAGTTGTGGGGTGTAGCCTGGTGGGAGGGGCTGCCTAGTGTGCATGAAGCCTTGGGCTTGGCTCCAGCATTGAGGGGGGGTGGGTCTGGCATGTGGTAGCAGAGAACATACCGAGCTCTGGGTTCGATCCACAGATCTGCATGCACTGGGTGTGGTGGCACATGCCTCTTTCCCCAGCACTCAGGAGTTACAGACTGGAGGATCAGGAGTTCAGTTATCTTGAGCTATGTAATGAGTTTTATAGGTCAGCCTGGGCTACCCACGAGCCTGTCTCAAACAACTTTAAATTGCTTCCAGGCTGGACTCATAGAGCCATTAACTAGCAGAGGTTGAAAGGCCTCACTCCCTTAGCCTCTTGCCCTTTTCTGCTGGCTGAGACACTTCTGGAAACTCTTCTCACGTACCTCTGCAGGAGCAGCTCCTAAGGCGAGTCCTGAGCAAAAGTGTCAAGTGCAATGGAGGCCTGGGGGCCACAGCACAGGAGAGGCCTGGGAGGAAAGGAAGCGGCTCTTATGAAGTGTCCTTGGCCCTGTGTTGCCCAGCATAGGGCTGGACCTAGGAGAAGGAACAGTCCCATGCCAACCTCAGGGGTGGCAGCATAGCCTGGCAAGTATCAAGGGAGACAGAAGCTAGAGGCTTAGGTGAAAGCTTCTAGCAAACAATCTATGAACCAGCCCATCTGGGGTCTACAAGAGTGCATGCTCAGAAAATGAGTGTTTATGCCCGAGGACTCGCGTTCACGTCCAAGTCATTCCAGAGCAGATGTACTGAGCATGGCGGGGGTGTGTGTGTGTCTTGGACACAGGGTGACTTCAGCGGGGAGGGGGAAGGCCCTGACACTGGGAAGGTGACAAATGGCTGGAATTGGTGTTTTGTGAGGTGTCTTACTGGAGGGGGTCAGGTGACTTCTCGACATCGGCAAGTAGGGACAAATGTGGGTTACTGTATTCCCTGTGAAAGCACTTCAGGAAGAGTGATGTAGGGCAGTGCCACTCAGATGCCCACACCTAGTGGGCTTGTTTGCTGATGGGCCCAGGGTGGGCACCACATGAATGGATTGGGTGAGCATATGGCAGGTTTGCTCAGGGAGAGACAAGTTTTAGGACTGGTTAAGCCTATGATGCTTTTTTTTTGTTTGTTTGTTTGTTTTTCGAGACAGTGTTTCTCTGTAGCTTTAGAGCCTGTCCTGGAACTTGTTCCTGTAGACCAGGCTGGCCTTGAACTCACAGAGATCCGCCTGCTTCGGCCTCCCAAGTGTTGGGATTAAAGGTGTGCGCCATCGCCTGGCCACTCTGTTGCCTTCTTTCAAGTATTAAGCTACCACTGTTTCCAGAGAGGCTATGTGTATGTTTGTCATTTATTTGGCAAAGTAGGAAATAAATTGACACCTCCTGTGCAACACAGCGCACCCATGTATATGTATGTACACACACACACACACACACACACACACATACACCTGCATGACAATCCTTTTTTAAGACGGGTCTTGTTACATAGCCCAGGCTGGCCTTGGACTGAGTGTAGGGACGCTCTCTGCCTTTACTTCCTGAGTGTTGTGACGACGTGGGTCTGCTGCCATCCTTGGCTTATGTAACAGGAGACTTGTTTTTATCTGACGAGTGTTTGGTCTTCATGTGTGCCAGAGCCATGCAATAGCCACAGAGCTCAGAAGAGAGTGTTGGATGGCTGGGAGCAGGAGTTACAAATGGTCGCAAGCCACCATGTTTGTTCTGGGAACAGGTTTTCTGTAAGAACGGACAGTGTTCTTAACCCGAGCCACCTCTCCAGCTCCTGGTGTGACAACTCCTAATTAAAAATATGTTCTTAAAGCTGGGTGTGGCACACGCCTTTAATCCTAGCACTCAGGAGGCAGGGGCAGGTGGACCTCTGAGTTCGAGGCCAGCCTGGTCTACCGAGTTCCAGGATAGCCAGGGCTACACAGAGAAACTCTACCTCAAAAACAAAGTCAAACAAATGTTTATATTTAATAATGGAATTAGTGAACTAAACCTTTTTAAGTTCTTTTCTGGTGATGGCTAAAAAGGAGAAGACAATTCATGTACTTTTCTTATTTGAGAAGAAATGTAAGTGGGAAACTCCATGTAAAATATTTTCTTTCTTTTTTCTTTTTTTGCTTTCCATGTAGAATCTTAATTGGAACATGCCCAAATATATAGTATTTTAAAGAACTTTAGCAAACTGGTAGGTAGGATTTATTTTAATTTTCAGTCTTGGAAAAAAAAATTCCCAAAAAGCAAAATACTAAATTCTGCACGCGCGCACGTGCACACACACACACACAGTGTCAACATTTTCAGAGCACTGACATGAGGGAACATTGTTTCCCTTTAATTGCATGACAATACTGTTTTATGTGTCACAATAAAAGTTACAAGCGTCTTGTCTGCGGTCACACAAACATCATGAGTTTACATTTCAACACACAATAAAAAAAAACAGACATCTTCCGGCACTTCCTCCCTGTGACCACGGCCCGTTTCCATAAACATTTAAAAACCCAACAGTGGCTGTTTTGGAAGGCATAGCCTTTCCAGATCCAAACTAAAGTCATGAGAGATTTGCCATTTAAGAGAACAACTGAGATTTTATTCGTAGGTTTGGTGAACTCCATTCACCAAAAGATGCGTAAAAAAACTGCATGAGAGTAAAAATAAATAAAACGGTGTTGCCAAGCCAACCTCGCTGACACGGTGGCCAGGACAGGACAAGCACTTAGAACCATCACCGGAAGTTTTCAGTTGCCTATAGTAAAATTACAACTTTTCCACAAACCGAGCGAAAAGAAAGAGGCTGGGTAAACGGTCTGAAGATGTTCACATTCGGGCTGTGGCTCTCTTCGGCAGCACTTTGGGGCCTGCGGCAGCAGCGGTGACATATTGCGTGTTTGGACATAAGGCACCGTGATCTGGACGTGCCGTTCACTCACTTTCGGTCACCCGTTCCATCCCAGTGACTTCTTTGAAATGAAAAGTAGTACTAATTTCAGGACACAGTGCACTTTAATGACAGACAGCATTGGAAATCCCTCGGCTGGGGGTCTGAGGACAGCCTTTGAACGCCAAGCCCGAATCTTTTCCTATGCTTACAAATCCCTGGAAAGATACCCATCGCCAAACCCTGATATACATTCTTAGCCATTTATTTTCTTCTATTGCAGCCAGTGTTCATGAGGCAAAACGGGACCCCGAGACTTTGTTCAAGTTCTCCTGTGAGGGTGCCTACATTCGCGGCGGTCATTCAGCCTCCGGCTCCTTCTGTTTGGCACCTGCTGGGAGATGGAAAGAGGAGGTTCCAAGCTCAGGCTCCGGGCAGGGCTCTCTGTACCAGTAGAGCCCACCCAGCCTGGCAGCGGCTAAGGACAGCCAGAGGTGGGAGGACTCGGTGGCCACAAGAGCCCCACCCACTCTCACTGTCACATGGGCTCTGATCTTTATAACATCTTGCCATTCTAAATGTCACATTCTGCTGCTAAAAAAGTAAAAATAAATAGGCAGTCATTTCAGTTGCCATACTTATATATAAAAACATCATAAAGCATCTAAGGAGAACTGGTTTCCCACTGGATGGCAGACGCAGCTACTGCACTACCTATAGCACCTCCCTAGCTTTCATTTGACCTCTTTTTCAAAAATTAAGTTTAAAAAAATTTAAGTGTATGGGCTCTTCGCCTGCATGCATATTTCTATACCATGTCTGTGAAATGTGCAAGGAGTCCAGAGAGGGTGTCAGATTCTCTGGGACCGGCTGCCATGTGGGTGCTGGGAGTCAAATCCGGATTCTCTGGAAGAGCAGCGGTACTCTTAACCTCTGAACCATCTCTAGGTCCGTTCCTGGTCTTGGTTTTCTGAGGCAGGGCTCTTGCTATGTAGCTCAGTCTGGCCTCTGCCTTCAGAGGGCTGGGATCCACCTGTACAGTCTGTGTCAGGCTACATATGTGACTTTGGGAAGAGATTAACAATAGATTAGAAGAAGGGGCTACAAACTGTAGCTCTTACTGCCAGACTGCTTCCTGGCAGGTGTAAAAGCAACAAAGACTCATCTGAAGTGTGAGTTCCACTACTGTTGCTGCTAAGACTTTGAAAAAGAGAATACGCTACTGTATTGAGCAAGTATCCACATTAGAGCGGCTGTGGCCACTCTGCTGAGTTGCTTTTGATCCTCTCACAGGGGCTGCCCTTCCTTGAAGGCGCATCCTGTAAGCATCCAGCTGCGCTGCTCACTGTGGGCAGAATGCCTGCATTTGCATGCATGTTGTGGTTGCACCTCTTGGTACATCAGGAGGGAGACAGGCTGCAGAGACAGCTCATTCTACAGCTAAAGACAGGCAGATCAGGCTGTCAAGGCTGTTCAGAGGTTAAGAACACTGGCTACTCTTTCATAGGGCCCGGCACGAGGCAGCTCCTGACTGTCTGTAACTCCAGTTCCAGGGGATCTGATACCCTGACACCCACGCACATAGATGGGGTGACTGGAACTTGGCCTCTCAGTGTCCATGTATAGCACCACTCTCCTGACCTGTAAGCATGCTAGTTACCTTGCAAAAGAGAGCATCCTGAGTTCCATGGGAGCTCTGCTCTAGACATTAGGAATACAACATTTTCCTCAATGAACCGTTACATACAGCCCATCAACAAGAATTCCAACCCAGCCACCCCATTTTTATGACAGCATTTCTATGGTAAATCCATTCCAAATGCCAGCTGTGAAACAGATTTCTGCACTGTGCCCACAAGGATGGGAGGAGCAAGAATGATTGACAACTTCAGAAACACCGAGTTTAGATAGAAATCTAAAGACATACTCAGCCTGCCCAAGCTTATGCCCTGAGGCACCAAGGCTCAGAGACTTGACGAGCCACTTGCCAGTTTACTCTGGGATTCTGATGCCCCAAAGATCTTCTCAAGGGGACAAGTGAGGGCCTGCATGCAACGCTGCTGAGGTGACTGCATGCAACGCTGTTGAGGTGACTGCATGCAATGCTGCTGAGGTGACTGCATGCCTGAGTCCAGGGTTGGTCCTGGAGAAGGTGTCCTTCTCTGAGGGTACTCCGACTTGGGGGGTATGCCTACATACAACTTTCTCATTGGCATGAGGAGTGCCTGTGGTTTTTCCTGATTGGAGATTTACCCACACACAATTGAACACAAGCTACAAGTTAATATGACTTTCCAGTTTTGCTTGTAATAGAGTAGCTCTGGTCACTTTCAGTGCTGTATGGCATCCCACGGGATGAGTATCTCAGTTTCCCCTACCATCTTTTGAAAGATACTAGGTTATTTCCAACTTTGAGCTGTGGTGGTTTGGATGAAAATGGTCCCCAGTTGGTGGCAAGGAGTAAGAGGTGTGGCCTTGTTGAAGGAGGTGTGTCAGTTGGGGTGGGCTTAGGGACTGCAAAATGCCATGCCATTCTTCCTCCCCTCCCGCCGCCCCAGTTAGCACTCTCTCTGCCCATTTGTAGATCATATGTGAGATCTCAGTCACTTTCCGTTGCCATGCCTGCCTGCTGTCATGGTCCATACCATGATGGTCATAGACTCACCCACTGAAACTGCAAGCCCCACTAAACTCCTTCCTTGTAAGTTGCTTCGGTCCTGGTATCTTCATAGTAATAGAAAAGTAACTAAGACAGGTTGATAGCATCAACAGGAATCATCCACCTGATGCCTGGTTGTTCATGATTGTGAATGTCACCGTGAGCTTCAGCCAATCAGTCTGAAAATGACTACAAGAGGCCTGTCTACAGATGTGTGTTTCAGATTCAGCACGTGGGGGTGGGGGATGGGGCCCCACACGACCACCTCTCAGAACTTCTGCATGCTGCTGGCCAAGATCCCTGAACGGTGACTCTGTCCTGTGGCTGGCTCTGTGGCTTTTGCATCTGCAGAGTCAGGCAGGGCTGCGGCAGTTGCTGGGGACTCTTATGGTGGGTAGTTTTAGGGAACAGACTAATCACAAAAGCTAGCTTTAGCTGAGATTGGTTTCTTAACTAAAGAAAAGCAATCCCACAGTGGGCACATAATTTAATGATTAACTGCTGGAGTTCAAATTATGTGCCACCTATTGTCCTATCTGTCCGTGACCCTGTCGAAAAAAGCTAGCTGGTTTCCATGACGGGGCTGGAGAGGTGGGGTAGAGGCAAAGAGAAAGTGAAGGAAGGATGTGGCAGTGTTTTACGGTCCCACCAGGCCACCTCTTACCATAAACACATGGCCAGCCCTGTGCCGTCCACTCCTGCACCTCTGTGTGCTTTCTAGAAACTTTGCTCACCCAAGCAGAACATGAACTTCAAGCATGAAAAGTAAAGCCAAAACGGCCTGTACACAAAACCCTGCTGTGTGGGACGTGGAGGCAGGGTGTCTTCAACACCTCAGCACCTGTCCTGGAAATCTTGGATAGAAATAAATCTATCTGCCAGGAAGTCGTGGCACACGCCTTTAATCCCAGGACTCGGGAGGCAGAGGCAGGCGGAGCTCTGTGAGTTCAAGGCCAGCCTGGTCTACAGAGCAAGTTCCAGGACTAGCTCCAAAGCTACACAGAGAAACCTTGTCTTAGAAAAGAAAAAATCTATCTATCTACCTACTTACCTACTCACCCACCTTTTTAAGACAGGGTTTTTTATGTAACCCTAGTTGGCCTAGAGCTCACTGTGTAGACCAGCTGGCCTCGAGCTCACAGAGATCTGCCTGTCTCTGCTTCCAGAGTACCAAGATTAAATTCATGGGATATTGTGCTGGCTCGAAATCTTCATTTTTACCTGCTGGTGTGAGGATCAGGGCTTGCAGGATGTCTGACAGGGAGATAATACCCACAATACTATCTGCTTCATTCACTACCACCAGCCGATGGACCTGCAAAGAGAAAAGACCAGGTGTGAGCTTACCCTGTTGTGTGTGTGTGTGTGTGTGTGTGTGTGTGTGTGTGTGTGACACTTGCCCATGCAGGTATACATGGAGGCCAGAGGTTGATGTCAAGTTTTTTTTTTTTTAAATTGCCCAATTTTTTTTCCCCATCTCCTGACACAGGGTTTTTCTGTGTAGCCTTGGTTGTCCTAGAACTCACTCTGTAGACAGGCTGGCCTTGAACTCCAAGATTTGCCTGTCTCTGCCTTCCAAGTGCTAAGATAAAAGGCCTGTGTCACCACTGCCCGGCTGCCTCACTATGTGTATATATGTATTTTCTGTGTATGGGTATTTTGCCTGTACCTATGTCTGTATGCCACATGCAATCAGTGCCTTTAGAAGAAAGAAAGAGGGTGTCTGACCCCCTGAAACTGGTTTTGAGCAGCCATGTGGGTGCTAGGGATCCAACAATCTTATGTCCATCGGAAGAGAAGTAAGAACTTGCAGCCTCTGAGCCATCTCTCTAGTCCCTTTCTTTCTTTCTTTCTTTTTTTTTTTTAAAGATAGAATACTCGCTGAACCTGAAGTTTGCCATTTTACCAGACTTGCTGGCCAGTGAATCTAGGATCCACCTCTCTCTATTCTGCCGGAAGCTGTGGTTACAGGACTGTACTACTGTCCCCGTTTGGGTGGGTGCTGGGATCTGAATTCAGGTTTTCATGCCTGTACAGCAGGCAGTTTATCTACTGAGCCATGCTCCTAGTCTACACGTGAAAGTTTAAATTAAAAAAAATTAAAAATGCGTGCTGGAAAAAAATGGCACCCATGGAACGCTACAATGAATACAGCTAAGGAGGGGGTGCACAATGGACGGGGCTGCAGAGAGATTGGGGCCGAGGGGAAATGGAACACTAATTTGTTGAACCACAGCGAGAAAAATGAACCAGATCTGTCTGCTGGGCTTTCAAATTCCAAAATATGTATAAAGTAATGAGACAGCTCAAAATTAACAACCTCGGTCAGTGTATGCATGCGTGTGCATGCGTGAGCTCTGCCCACACTGGGTGACTTCCTCCATGCTTCTCCACAGGGTCTCTCCCTGAACCTGGAGCTCACTCAGCCACACTGACTGGCTAGCAGGCCTCACAGGGTCCTCTGCCTCCCCAGCACTATCGTATCTAGCTTTTAACCCAGGAGCTGGGGATCAAACCTGGGTTCTTGTGCTTGTGTGGCAAGCCCTTTATGAACTGAGTTCTCTCCGGTCACTCCATCCTCTACATCTTAACACTCAATCCCAGTCTCTTGTAGCCAGCAACTGGTTTTATCTGGGCAGTGGAAGTCTAGGAGCAGGCTCTCTGCTCTTTGCCTCTCCGGCCATGGCTTTTCTGCGGCACTCATGTAACAGTGCTAATATCCAGGAAGCTAAGCTGTGGCAGAGTGAGGCACGCATAGTCACCTCTAGTGTTTTCATCTAAATTCTTCTGGAGGTGAATGAAGATCTAGAGAAGACAGCACAGTGTGCTGTGTCCAACTTCCTGTTTCCCTGCCTGGGGCCAAAGGTTCCCTGGGAGACCCTTGAGGTACCAGCAGCCTTAGCTCCTGGCACGAAGCGGACACAGGGAGGAGCTGCAGAAGACCAAGTCCGGTTTATGCATTTTGTCAAAGGATAATGTTTTTGATGTCATAGCTTGCTTTAGGGTTAAGAAAAAATGAGTCACTCTGGTTATCTCAATCAACACAGATTTCTTTACGAAATTTCTTTAAAAAATACTTTTAGGTCCTTCAAAAATCCTGTGATAAAACAGAGTACTGAAACTGTGATTTAGGATAAAATGATGATTTACTTTATTTTTATTATGTTTATTTAATTATGTAAAGGGAGGCATGTGCATGACTGCCAAAATATATCTGAGGAACTTTTTAAAAGTCATCTTCGCTGGGCGGTGGTGGCACACACCTTTAATCCCAGCACTTGGGAGGCGGGGGCAGGCGGATCTTTGTGAGTTCGAGGCTAGCCTGGTCTAGAGCTAGTTTCAAGGACAGGCTCCAAAGCTACAGAAAAATCCTGTCTACAAACAAACAAACAAACATCATCTTCTTGTCAAACAGGCTGATAGTGACACATGCACCCTGGCTCTGGGAGGAGTCATCTAGTGAAGGAATTTTAGTGGCAGACAGAGTCGAGACATGTAATGTGAGAAAACAACTTGTTTATGTCCTTATTTCCCTTCACGGCTTCTTTCAAACCACAGATTTATATGGTCCTCCACCACAGCACACAAGAGTGTAGGTATTACTGGACCCAGCAATTGACCTTTTCTCATGGCAACATATGGCTAACGGTTTTCAACATGAACACTCTCCTACAAAGAGATCTGTGGTTCTCACGATGGATTCCATCAGAGATCTCAGTTCACTGTCACTACAGGGAGGGACGACACCGTTTCTAGTACTGCTTCTGACCTATGGAGGGCATATGATTCTAAGGACATTCATGAGACATCAGGATACATTCCCACGTATGTTAGAACCTTCTAGAAAACAAGGTGGATATAGCGCAGTTTAAGAAAAGGGAAGATTTACTATTAAAATGCTGTGCTAAGAACCAATGGCAACAGCTGGGGAGGGAGATGCTGAGGGAATGAACTCAGATGCCACATGGAGGCTAGCCTCTGTGGGATGGCAGCTGGATTCTATGGACACTGGGTGCAATAGGACAGAGGACGGACCACATGGGGCTCGTTCTAGCAGCAACATACGACTTCACAGCACATGCAGTGCGTGACTTCAGCAGCACACATGCAGTGCGTGACTTCAGCAGCACACACGTAGTGCGTGACTTCAGCAGCACACATGCAGTACATGACTTCTGCAGCACACACGCAGTGCATGACTTCTGCAGCTAGCTTTCACTGTGGAAGTCATGGTTGCCTCTGAACTAATTGGGTGCTTTGTCTTAGTGCATGCACCTGCATTTCTAATATTGAAAGAGACCTGTCATTGGGAGTGCATTTTATTTAGTAGGGAATGTTCTGGAAGTAACAGAACTGTATCCTTCAGTCCTTGAGTATGACAGTGGAGGGCAAGGGATAGGGGAGGGACAAGGGCACACTGGATGCCACTCCTAGCCCTGTCTGAGAAGAAAGGAATGGGAATGAGAAGGTGGACGACACATCACAGTGACCTCTTTTCCTTCCTGGGAACGTTGTACAAGCAGCGAAGTCCAGGCAGTGTTTGGGTGGCTGCTCGGGCTGGGGAGGCCCTACAGTTTACTACTCACTTCACTCAGGGACACAGAGGAGAGAGAAAGGAACTTAACTTTGAAAAGTTTTGTCTGTGGCTGGTGAGATGGCTTGGGGTAGACTGTATGCCATGTAAGTCTGATGACTGGTGTTCAGTCCCCAGAACCCACATAAAGGGGGCAGGAGAGATCTGACTCTCACATATGTGGGTGCATGTGCAAACACACACACACACACACACACACACACACACACACACACACACACACACACACGTTTCACTTCACCTTATTATCATTTACTTTGTTAAAGTAACATTATTCATTTCTGCTTTGAATCCAAATACTCTGACAGGATGTATTTACTGAAAGTATCTGGGTCACCTTTGTTTTCTCAAATGCACGTTTTTTATACTCTGAAAGTACCCGCACTCACAAAACTTCACCAAATTCAACTCAACTCAGTAAGCCTTTGTGATCGTGTGCCAAGCACTGTGCTGGGGTTCAGAATGGCCACGAACCCACTCCTACCCTACAGAAGCCATGGCCTGCCTCCCAGGGCTGCCTCCCAGGGCTGCCTCCCAGGGCTGCCTCC